AGAGAGAGAGAGAGAGACAGACAGACAGACAGATAGATAGATAGACAGGTAGATAGATAGATAGATAGATAGATAGGCAGGTAGATAGATAGATAGGTAGGTAGACAGACAGACAGGTAGATAGGTAGGTAGGTAGGTAGGTAGTATAGTCAATATTATACTATTAATACAATACAATACAATACAAATAGACACTATTGACAGAATTATTGGATAGATAGGTAGATAGATAGGTAGGTAGGTAGGTAGATAGATAGATAGATAGATAGATAGATAGACAGACAGACAGGTAGATGGATAGATAGATAGATAGATAGGTAGGTAGGTAGGTAGGTAGGTAGACAGACCGGTAGATAGATAGGTAGGTAGGTAGACAGACAGACAGACAGACAGATAGATAGATAGATAGATAGGTAGATAGATAGATAGATAGATAGATAGAGAGATAGATAGATAGATAGATAGATAGGTAGACAGACAGACAGACAGATAGATAGATAGATAGATAGGTAGATAAATAGACAGATAGGTAGATAGATAGATAGATAGATAGAGAGATAGAGAGAGAGAGATAGATGGACGGACAGACAGACAGATAGGTAGGTAGGTAGATAGAGAGAGATGGATGGATGGATGGATAGATAGATAGATAGATAGATAGGTAGATAGATAGATAGATAGATAGAGAGACAGACGATAGATAGATAGATAGATAGATAGATAGGTAGATAGATAGATAGATAGATAGAGAGACAGACGATAGATAGATAGATAGATAGATAGATAGGTAGATAGATAGATAGATAGATAGAGAGACAGACGATAGATAGATAGATAGATAGATAGATAGATGATAGACAAATAGACAGATAGATAGGTAGGTAGATAAATAGACAGGTAGACGGATAGATAGAGAGATAGATAGAGAGATAGCGAGAGAGAGATAGATGGACGGACAGACAGATAGGTAGGTAGGTAGAGAGAGAGAGAGAGAGAGAGAGATGGATGGATGGATAGATAGATAGGTAGGTAGGTAGACAGACAGATAGGTAGATAGATAGATAGATAGATAGGTAGATAAATAGACAGATAGATAGGTAGATAGATAGATAGATAGAGAGAGAGAGAGAGATACAACAATAAATAGAATGCAGCCAAAAAATACAAGCGCTGATAGATAACTTTCTAAATAACACCTACGCTCACACTAATGAAGGTGTCAATCTTGTTGTCAAAGATATAAATTACATATTTGAAAAATCAGCAAAACAATCCAAATTGAAAACAAAAAATGGAAAAAAATCAAATACCCAAAAATGACAAAAATTGGTTTGATCAAGACTGCCAAACTATTCGCAAAAAACTGAGAACATTGTCAAATCAGAAACACAAGGATCCAAATAATGCAGAGACCCGCCTTCTTTACAGTGAAACACTAAAACAATACAAACATTGAGAAGTCAGTGAACACAAACCAATTTTGAAAAAAACTGATCATGAAGAAAAAAAAATACAAAATAGAAAGAACTGCACTTCCTAACAGAATGCTCCAAATACACAGATATACGGACAGTGTTCTATGATAAAGTACAGCAGATCCATCAGACATTTCAAACTCTTTCAGACCAGGAGAAAGTGCCGTATCTGTTAGGAGCACAGAAGAACTGCTGTGTGTTTGCTGCTCAATATGTGTCTGCCTGTCACCATAGAAGAGAAAACACTCACCCTGCCCTGATCTGATGTTTCCAGCACATCTACATTATATTACTTAGATGTATATTTTGCTTCTGTAAAAATGGCTAATCCCTTATTTGATTTTTATTTCTAGTTTATATACTTACATACATTAGTAATTCATTTTGCACTACATGCTTAATACTTTTTATATATTATTATTATTACTATTATTATTATTCTTTTTCTTTCTGTTAATACATATGTGCACTATTTGTAAGCAGTCCAGCTGCAATTGCTTTGGCAATACAAATGTATAATTTTTGTCATGCCAATAAAGCACTCTTAAAATTGAAATTGAAATTGAGAGAGAGAAAGAGAGAAGACTTTGACCTAATGGTCTAATGTTTGAGAGAGAGAGAGAGAGAGAGAGAGAGAGAAGACTTTGACCTAATGGTCTAATGTTTGACTCCCTCAGATGTGCTGGTGTTTGCTCTTATGAGGGAAGAGGAGGCTTGTGTTCAGTTCGACTCAGTGAACCAATCCTGAAGCTCAGACCGCGCAAAGATCTTGTACAGGTTGGTTAAACATTACATTTTTCACGTTTGAAGTCAAAATAGAATCAAAACCATCCCCATTTAATTCCTTAACCATACACTGTAAAAAATTATTGTGATTTTAACAGTAAAATACTGTAAAAATGCTACAGTAAAAACCTGTTAATTGGTTATCAGTAACTTTCCATACTATATACGGTGAATAACTGTAATTACATTTAATGTAATTTTACAGTAAAATACTGTTAAAATGACGGTTTTTGGAAGTGAAAAAGAAAAAGTCATTGTATAATTTACAGTGAAAAACCATAAATTGACACTCCCAGAATTCCCTGCATGACACTTCATATTTAGTTTTTTTTAATTTAAATAACTATGTTTCTTCTTAGTTTTTTCTTATCAGTTGTGTACATTAGGGCTTTATCTTACATCTAATGTTGTTAAATTAATGTTCACTGCATTATTTCAGTATCATGTGTGTCACCATGTTGGTGTTTAGTGTTTGTGTGAATGACACTGTGCACCTTCTATATATATATACTAGTATTTCCCTTCTCAGCTTGTGGAAGAGCTGTTTGTGATGAGCTTTGGTTCATCATGTGACTTTCTCATCACCACCAGTTTTTGGTGGTTATCAGTGCATTACAATGGTTCAAAACAGATATTAA